ATAGAAATGACATTTTGACCATGATTAAACTTCGATCGAGTCTACTTAAGTCGTAATTGGATAAGAATGAGTAATCCAGACTACCCAAACTTAGAACCATTGTAATTAATCACAAAAGAGCTTCCAAGGGCAAACGGATAATGATCTCCCAAATCGAGGAAGAAGAAGTAGATCAAAATGTTATCCATCCCATTAACAGATTGAAACTCATTGATAAAAATCAGTTTTGTAAGATCTGGAACAATCATCTCCCTGGAATAATTTAAGACCTCTTCAAAAACTTGAATGATTATTATTATTAATGAGTACAGAGACGACTGAATTTATTCCCAAAAGATTGGCTGTTGCTGTGGCCATCCTGATCTTATTCGTACTCCACTACGTCACTCTCCTTATTAATGCATTCTTAAAAGGTCCAGATCAAAAGGAATACATCAACAGAAGAGTGTTCCTATTCGGAATTGCAGGTCTGTTAATCATATTATCAATCCTATAGGTTTGTTAAGCATGTCCACCATTCAAAGCAGTGTGTTTTCAGCTATACTGGCTTGGCTAACCTTTGTCCCTCTGGCTGTATTGCATTTGAGCATTTATGAAAAATTTCAAAATTTGAACAATCACAAAGACACTCTCTGGCTGGCATACTATGGGTTACAATTTGTCTGGTTCTTAGGAATTATCATAGACTTCTATTCATGATGCATATATTTAATCATTTATCAATTCTATTCACTCAATCTCTGAATAGTATTCACCAAATTATTATCATAACATGAACTATAAAATCAATTTATTTTCTTTGAATTCTTAATTACATTATTGAGTTGCTCAGCAAACAATCTCCGTATTCTAATCTTCTTGGGTTTGTCTTACAAATCTGCTTCCTCCCTTGTGAATCTCCTCAATTTTATTACCACCTCCTAAGTCGAATGTATTTCATCATTTGATTGCTTAAGCAACTCAGCCAATTTAATTGAACTATGCTAAGAATTAACCCCTCTCTTCTTACTCACCTATGCTGTCATTATCTCCCTAGAGAAAAAGCTTTGATCTGTCTACTTCATCGGAACACTTTGATTTCTCGAAAGGACACGGCTATCCTTATATGTCTAATCCAGAGTCGCTTAATCGTCTAGGTCATTGAATGCTTTCGACACCTCTCCTCTTCTTACTTCCATTTCATTCTGACATTTTGATTTCACAAACTGCTTAAAGTATTGCTCATAGTTCTACAATTGTTCTTCAGAATTCAACTTAATCTTCTGCAAATTGCAACATTTATGACAACTCTTTGAGTCTCGATTGATCAGACACTTAACTTACTAATTTATTTGACCACAACTCATTTGTCAATATGAATCCTTTGTTCTTGTGCAATTTATGTACGAATTAGTCTTACATCTTATTGTTGTGTATTTTCGCTATCACCTCCTTATAATCTGCCTTTTAAGATATGCTCCTTGCTATGCCTGATGCCTTCTTCAAGTGCATATAATATAAATCTAAGTTGGCATTCTTCGTGAACGTCTCAAAAGTCTTCCTTCGCTATACTAACTTAGGATCAGAAATGATGTTTGGGATTTGGAATAAGTACTTAAATTTGTCTGTGTCATTTTATAATATTTTGCTTCTGTCCTTCTTGTGTATTTAACTGATATCTTGAAAGTGAACTGAATTCTTAGGTCCTTTCCCTTACTTTATGTGCCTTTAAGATGGAGACTCTATGGAATCCCCCATTTTATATTAATAATATAATCTTTAATATTATGTTAATTATAATAAATTTATTTTATATAATAGTAATTATAATTTATATTCTATTGTCAATATATATAAAGTTTATGAGTAAGAAAGAAATTCAATATTATAATGAATTCATCAATAAAGAACGGATCATAAACCAATAGTCGTTTTGATAATAAAAATAACGAAAACTTATAGTAATAAACTTTCAAAGATTCTTAAATATAAGCATAAGCATAAGCAGAAATTCAGTATTACATCTATTAGGACTTACAAAACATAATCAATTTAATATAATCAAGAAAAGCTGTCCTTGAGCATTTTAAAAATGATCCAAATCATGGCATGATTACATAGAGTAATAATAAATTAATTTTATAATTAAATTTATCAAATGCAATACACTCGGAGTAATAATAGATATACAAGGAATAACCCTAATTGATTGAATTTTTATAAAAAGAAAGAAATAAAGCTTATGAAATACTTGAAAAGATTATTGACAATAATGATTAATTGTTGAATAGTAATTAAAACAATGATTATTTCATACCATATTATTTACAAAAATACAAATTACGATATGCAAAATAAGAGTTTAAGTTAGAAGATTAGTTTCCATTATAAGACACAAATTAAGTAGCAAAATTTGATGAAGGAGTACTATAAAATATGATTTCATCAATATCAAATGTCGATAATCAAATTCAATAAATAAGAATGAATAAATCTTATAGGGTTCCTGATCCAAATGAAATTCAATTAAAAGCTAAGTATATCATTATAA